TAATAACTCACAAACAACCCAGGAAAGCAAACAGTTCCAACTTGATTTACTTTTGGTTTTAAATATTTATAAAACATTTTAATATGATAAGAGATACAATGAAACAGGAAATAAGGCACATTTAACCTAATACAAGCCCCTGGCTTTACATGCAGTAATGCATAATTAGATTTCAAGCTCCCATTACAGTGTGTTAGATAGATCAATCCCTACTCTTTTGAAAAATAGAGACCAAGTATTTACTGAGTTCTCTTTATCAATTACACTGAAAATTAGAATGAAATGAAAACTCCAATCTATTACACATAAGGACATTCAGAAAATTCCTGTTCAGCCCTCACACACGTATGTCAATTATTTAAGAACAATACAACATCAGTATATGAAAGAAGTGATGTTGATTTTGTGAGTAGGCAATTTCATCCTTTGTGATTTAAAAATTAATGTAATGAATAAACTCTCAGTGTTTACTAGTCCGCTGATACTTAGCACAAACCAACTCTAACATTACTGTACATAGTATGCTCTTAATACAATGAACCTTTGTAGATCCAAGTGCATATGTGCAATTGAATCCCTACAAAAAATGTTGGTGTTGCATCGATTAACTTGCTCAAAAAAGAATTGGATAACTATTTCCTTGAAAGCATCATTAAAGGTTTTAGGTGCAGATTGAGAAGATACTTCACACTTCACAATATTTTGGTGCTGCTAATGACAGGAGAGAGGTGGAGTGATCACTGTAGAGAGGAGGCTAGGTTTGAGAAGTGGAGATGTGGGTTTATCTGACTATTCTGATATTTTCGTTTGGTTACTTTGAACATCAGATAGTGCAGAACATATTATTATTATTATTAACTTTGCTCACGTGGTATAATGGGTGAAGTGGAGTAGGTGTTGCATGATCTATCAGAGGTCCAAGCCTTTTATTGTTCTGTGTTGGATTCTGCTCTCAACCACTTTTGGGGTCTTCCATAATTATAGTCAAAATCACGTACTATTTATGCAATCCATACAAAGCAAAATCCTGGCAATATTCTGATGTATTCAAAATTGTTGTACATTGTAGTCAGTAAAAAAAAATCAAAAGGGAAAATGTTGGAATTGCATGTAATTCAGTGGGACCATCAATCCTGTTATATATGAGTCTGCTTATGTGAAACCTATTGTGTTTCATATAATAGCCCATGGGATATGCAAATCCTTTGTAATCTAATTCATCTGTTAAATCCTTCAATGTCTATTTATATAAATTAAAACCTCTTTAAGATGTAGGAAAAGGGGCAATTGATGTGATTTTGAAGGCCTTCCTGACACAGCTGCTGAGACAAGTGATTCTTCTGATCTGTGTGGTAGAACATTATTAGTTTTTTTTGGTCAGCCAGGTGTCTGACACATGCAGAAACCCATCCTCATGCTTAAGAGTATCCAAACTAAACTGAGAATTCCATTCATCCCACCCACACATGGAAATTCCAACAGTCTCTCTACCACACATATCAGACTTATCACCTACATAATGCTCCAACATTTCTAAAAAGTCAAAAAAGTAGATTAATCAATATTATTATAAAATGTACCGAAGTGGCTGATATTACGATCTCTTCAGTCAACAGTGAGCTGAGATTTGTATTGTTAGGATTGATCCTCATTTGCTGGTTGATTTAGTTCATATGTGTGTTCCTAAAATGAGATCAGTACTAATACGGGTGTCACACCTGGATCCATCCTCAAAATAATTGAATTATTGTTTTTAATTCATAAGGATAATGAAGAGTCTTATCTCAAAGGTATAGTTTTCAATCAGTCAGTTCACATAACTAGGCAAATGCATGTATGTCACAACACTTCACCATTGATACCTGCTGTGGCTGTGTTCTCATGCCACTTCCACTCAGCTCTTATCAGTTAATTCCATCCATCAGATTTGGCCTTCCAAGCAGTCTTCACACCTCTGTTGTATGTTAATAGTTTTAGCATCAGTTTGCTGGAGTCGGAATGTGAGTTAAAACAGACTAGTTTCGCAAACTAATTTAGGCAAACATATCGGGATGGATTAGTTGAGTCAGCGTGAGGACCATCACTGACAACTTCAACTTTCCAGACAATTGTTCTGCATTCTTATTGTACGTGCGTTCAAGAGCAATTTCTTGTTTGATCCGGGATCCACTTCTTGTCAGTTCTTCTCCCTTGAAAGAAAGAAACCTGTGGTGGAAAATAGAGACCAGCACACTGTGCGTACATCTGAATCCTGTCTCTCTCCCCCAGTCAGCTTGTACCAATGCAAATGGCATTGCAACTATGGTCTCTTGCTTGTACTGCCGCTAAAGTATTATTAACATACATATGGGGAGAAATTCCAACTGGGTCTAGATTTACTCTATTAACATAACATTTCAGAGCTTCTAGAATTTGGCAATATTTTTAAATACAGCCTTAATTTGGAAGCCAGTTTTCTGTAAATTCTTTTAAGAAACAGCAGTGTAAAAAGAAAGAAAAACATAGAAATGGAACAGTGCATCATTTCGTTCTCTTTATTTATCACTGAATAAACGCGCAATTTAGAGATTTACAGGATATTATTCTTTGTTACAATAATAGAAACAATGCGCACACTTATAAGGCAATTCAATATCCAATGGGAAAACACTTTTTTTCAAGTCTGGGTCAGCTTGAATATTGGATCAGTTTTGACAATCAGCCATTTCTTAACTCTGACTTGTTCATTTTGAAAATCTCCTGCCTTTTCTCCTGTGTGCACCCACTGGAGACATGCTTGCCATTTGACAGTTGTATATTTCAGGCAGTAGGTCTTATCAAATTTCTGCAAATCATTGTTATTAGTGAATGATATCAGCATACAATATCTTATGGCGCAGGAGGGAATAGCCCTCACAGGTAACCTCTTGATATGGAACCCACACCAGATTCCACCTGTATCAACTCAGGACCCTCATGTATTGATTGCAACCATCATACCTATAGTAAAAACAAAATCTTTGTCTCAATTTACTAAACATTTTCAGTTTATTATTAATTTTATATTTCCTGTGGATAGCTCCCGTGTAAGTCATTGTTTTGAACTGTGCAATCACACCGTTATTATAAAACTGTAAAAAGTTTTTTCTTAAAGTAAAACTTGTGAGATTACAAATCCAATACAATTTACAATAAAATCTCCATTGCTATAGCGCCTTTCATGTCAGGAGGAAATCTCAAAGTGCTTAATTCCCAATCTTAGTATTCTATGACAAAATTGTAAAATGCTCTAACCTATTACTACATTTGGTGTTAACAACAACAACAAAATTACATTTGTAAAGTGGCTTTCACGTCAGGAGAATATCCCAAGGTGTTGCATGAAAAACAATCAATGTTTTGTGTTGCATGAAAAACAATAACAATTCTGAGTAGCTGATCAAACACCACATTCCAGGCATATGTAATTCTTTACAAAGTTATAGTAAATCTTTTTAGAAAATCCAGCATTGCAATACAATAATGACTTCAGAATAAAATATACTTTTTCACAAAAAACAGTTATTCCATTCCCAACCATTGTAACGGAACAGTGATGCAACACAGTGAGATACCAACATTTAAGGTGCACTGTCTCCATGAAAAAAATGTTGGGCTAATTATATTTTGCTTCTAAATGGAGAAGAGCCCGAAAATATTATTTTCATAATACTCATGTCACAGACAAGATATGCTGATATGTTCTGATGTCATTTGCTTTCTCATGGCATGTGTTTGCGGAAGACAAGAGCCCCTTTAAGAACATTTTCATTGAATACAAGTATAAAGCAAGAAGTACTCAGAACCTTTCAACACTATATAAAATATCATTTAAATTATCGTGTATATACATCTATTGTTCCACTTATCAGTATAGTAACTATCATTTTCTGTACATCAATCATACCAGGTTTCAAACTGGGACAATCTTAAAAAGTAGGGAAAGGAGGAATCTTTAGTTTGAAAAGTCCATTTGAGACCATGAACAAGGCTACTGTACTTACAGGGAAATCATTCTGAAGTGTGTGTTTGTGTGGGAAGAGGGTGGAGGAAGATGAAGGATATATACCAACCACTGTCTGAGGTTGTATCTCCTTTTCAGGTTCATAGGCTGTGATCAGGATCAAGATTGCAATTTTTAAAAATAATTTTTAAAAAAAGTTTGGGGAAACATCAGAAGGCTAAATTGTAAACTGTATTCTGTATTAAATTAAAATGCACTAACCTGTCTCAAAACACTTGCACTGTACAAACAACAAAAGTGGGATGATCAGCTTTGAATACACTGGAGTCCAAATTGTCGGTTTTGTTAAATACCCATGTGCATAGTTTGCACACTAGGTTAACCGCTACCAAAGATATGTGCAAACAGAATTAGGAATGCCTTAAATTATGTGATTAATACCCAAGGAAATGGCCTCCAAGTGATTCTATAATTCAAGGTTTGCATATGGTGAGCCCAACTCACAGATTATGCACTTGGTTTGTTAACCCAACCCACAAATCGTCTCCAAACGTGCAGATAAAGATATTTTTNCAGCATCAGAAAGGACTCAAAAACTCATTAAATAAAATCAGAAAATGCAAATTGCTCTTTTCTGCATCATTAGTTTCCTAACGTTCATGATATGGGTCCAGCAAATAGTTTGCATTAACTTTAGCTCAAAAGTGACAAATTATAATATAAACAAACACAATTTTGTTTCCCATTTAGGATTACAATACAACAGATCAAAAGTTTCTATTTGTTTTGCCAGTCAGGCTTCACCAAGCCCAAAATCATCTACTGACTTTTTAAACAACACATTTGGGAGGGAAAATTGCAAGAATGATTATAGGTGAATCAGGAGAAGATATTGACTCACTGTCACACAGAATGCAAATATTCAGAAATCAACTGCACAAATGATTAACAGACTTGCTGTGTAGTATATACTTAAAGACTCCAAATTGTTCAATGCAAATATTGCCTTTTGTAGACATCATCCCACGTGAAAGCATTTAATCAAGGATTGCAAACTGGATTTGATACCATTGTTCAAGAACCCATACAATATGGGATTCAGGCAACAGGACAACATTCCCAATAGGTGACAAATGCAGTAAACCAGCTTGAAGTGCCTACTGGAAATCAAGTTGCCATTGATGTCCGTCAAGAGGATAAAAAGGTTCAGGGGCATCCAGCTGACAGCAAAGGCAATGATCACGATGGTCAGTCTGTAGAAAACACTGCGGGATCTTTTCCTCAATCTGGTGACAGATTTTGGGGTCACATAAACATGCTGTGGCTCTATGGCCTCTTCAGCTGCTGTAGCTTTCATCTCGAAACATACAGGTACCCCAGGAAGAAAGGAAGTGGGCAAAGGCTGAGTACTCTCAGAACCAGGAGTCACTAGAAGGTCATCACGAGTGGGCTCATTCTTATGCACTTTGACCATGGCTGGCACAACACTGGCACACTTCCTGCTATATCGCTTCTTGTGTTTCCTCACAAAGGAATAGCCCCAACCTTGCATCTTTGACAGTTTCATTCGAGACTGATTTTGCGCCGGCTGATGTATGGTTAAATTTATCATTTCATTCTCCTCGAATCCGCTCTGTTTGCTTGGCATGGCGGCACTGACTTTCCTACAAACACTGGCATGGCTGATTGTGAGACAAACTATCGGCAAAATATACTGGATGAACAACAAGGAAATTGTGTAGGCAATTCTGTAAGAATTGGATGGCCATGACTCAATGCATAGGTATCTAATCTTTAAGGATTCTGAGTCAAAAGTTTCATTCAAATGTATGACTTTATGAAAGATGGGTAAAGGTGAGCAAATTGTGAATCCAATAATCCACACACTTCCCAGTAACATATATCCTGTGTTTATGGTAACATGATTGGAGAGTGGATGATTTATCATATGATACCTGACCATGGCGATTGACATCAGCATTAATGTAGAAACCATGACTGACACGCACTGAACAAATGGCACAATATAACACATGACTTCCCCAAAGATCCACTGATCCAGAAGGAGACATGTCAGTGTAAATGGTGTACAGAACAACAGAATCAAAATGTCAGATAAAGCCAAGTTGCCAATCAAAAAGTTAATCATTGACTTCTGCTTCAGGTTTTTATACAGTGCAACTAGGATGCAAAAATTTCCAAGGATCCCAAGAACACTTATAAATATATAAATCCCAACGAGTAAATAGCTTATATCGTGTATACTTCCACTGTAGTCATCCCAGGAGGGGAAACCTGGGTCATATAAGGTAGTAGTATTGCTATGATGCAACAAAATTGCAATATTACTTTTATTTTGAGTTTCAAGATCCATTTTGAACTGCTTTTCCTCCATATATTCAAATGTTTAACGTTTATGAACATTCACATGCTATGTAGTTAGAAAGAATGAAGTGATAATAATTTAACTCGTTCGTTCAGTGAACGTAAAGTGTGCATGTTTTGGACTGTCGTTGCATCTTTGATTTGCTCTCAGTGAGCAGCAACGTCAATGCATTGAAAGACATATGTTGTTGCTGCTCCGTACATCATTGTGGAATAAGCATCACATTAATACAGAATGCACCAGTAAAAGATGGGCATAATGGGCTCTCTAAAGTTAGACACTACTGAAGTTCTATGACTGTGAATACAGGGTACCTTAGAAGCAGCATAGGCATGAGTCAAGTTACAGCATAATTATGACAACCCAGTTAATTCAATTCTTCAGTGCACAGTTGCAAATCTGTCCATAAGAATACAGTATAAATGACAACCAAGTTGGCATTGGAGGTGGTGCAATGAGAAAGGTCTCCTTACTCTTGATGCTTTTTATAATCTTCTAGCAGTCGAGTGGAATAAAATCATGAAGGTATTACTTGATCAATACTGAGGAGTCCATTGGAGTGGAAAGAAGTGCAGTCTAAAACTGGCATCCTGTGTTATCTTCAGGCAAAATTTCTAGCAACAATAGCAGGCCTTAATGCTGTGTGTAAGAAAATAAATTGCAGGAATATAATACCATGCTAGAAGAAATTGTAATCATTATAATTGTTATTGCAATACAAAATAAACGTCCGCAGTTGCTTGATAAACTTAAGATCATAGATTAAATTACAAACTGTAACATTAGGAAAATTAAACTTTACCTTTAAATGCCTCTTATTATTTTGATACTGACACGAGTTAAATCACTATTTTTACAAAACTGTCAAACGTACACCACATGAACAGTCACCAACTAAAAAAACAATTGAATTAGAAAAATAATGAGCTATTATTTGGTAGCTGAAATGCAAGAGTATTGGATTCTGGAAGACTTAATGTTACTGAAGCACATTGGAAAAATCAGGCTTTTGCTTTCAGCTACTGCAGTAATAATACGTCATAGTTTCACAAATACAAGACAGTCAAATATGCATGAATGAACGAACGAATGAATGAATCGATCGAATGATGAGATTTTGAACAGATACTAGTTCTATAGGTTTGCCTACAAATAGTCACTTCACTGTACAGTAATTCCTATGAAGTGCTTTGAGATGTTTCGATTATGTGTTAAGGCACTGTATGAAATGGAAGGGTTATTGTAAATACTAGAGAAAATGGACCTGTTTTCAAGTAAAACAAAAAATATTGAGAAGAGATGTGATCGAGGTGTTTAAATTACGATCAGTATTAACATAATACATATTACATTTATACAGTACTTTTAATGTCGGGAGGACCCCCCCCAAGGCATTTAACAGTCCTAGCTTGGCACCCAAGCTTAGAGTGTGAGCCAAGGGGGGCTTGAAGAGGAAAGATGACCAAAGGCACGGTCAATGAGGAAGTTCTTGAGGTAGACCTTGAAAGAAGTGCGGTAGGGGAGCGAGTCAGTCAGAGGGACTCCAGAACGGAGGCAGATAGGAGGTCACAGAAGAAAAGTGGGGCAAGACCATGAAGGGATTTGAAAGAGAAGACAACGATTATGAACTTGATCTGCTGGGGGCAGGGGAGCCAGTGGAGTCAGGCGAGGATAGGGGTAATAGGCTCACAGAGCCTAGTGTGAGCTGCAGAATCTGAATGATTTGCAGCTTGGGGAGGGAAGAGATGGGAAGTCCAGTGAATGTCGATGTAATCAAGCCTGGGCGTGATAATCGCATGGAATAGGAACTAAACAGCCTAAACGAGAGATAGAGTGGCGGAGGCCAACAATACTATGGAGGGAGGGGAAAGCTGAGTGTGTCAGAGCATGGATGTGAAGTTTATAGGACAGTTGGGAGTCAAAGAAGACAAAGAGGTTCTGCACTGGCTCTGTGAGGCTGAGCGTGCATCCATGTAGATTGATGCTGTCAGTCCCTGAAGGCAAGAAGGCACTGATGGGAGCCAAGCAGAGGAGCCTCAGTCTTGTTGACATTCCACTGGAGAGTTAGTTCTCATCTGGGACTTGATGCCTGACAAGCAATCAGTCAGGACAGCAGTGGTCCTGGAATCAAGGGTAGAGGCAGAAAGACAGATTTGGGTATCATCAGTTGTGGAATTTAACCCTTTGCATGCAGATGACATCGCTGAGCGAGAGCATGTAGATACTAAAGAGGAGAGGACCGAGGGTAGAGACCTGAGGAACGCCACACATGACTGTGTGGGGATGGTAAGAGAACCCATTAGCAGATACAAAGTGAAGATGCTGGAACAGGTAAGAATAAAATCAGAACCGTGAAGGTGGATCAGAGAGGAGAGGCAGCAGAGAAGGACAGCATGATCAACAGTGTCGAAGGCAGCAAAAAATTTAAGAAGAACGAGCAGCCAGAGAGCCCTGGTTACAGCTGGATAAAATGGCATTGGTGACTTTACCCAGGCGTTCTTGGTACTATAAGATGAGCAGAATAAAGTATATAAGGAGAAATTGTTTCTATTGGTCAATGAGGAGTAATTTGAATGTGAGATTATTAACAAAAGAATCATGCGAGAAGTTAGTATTTGTTTTACTTAAGGGTTTATAAGCGCATAGAGAATTCTCTACCAAAATAATTGATGCAGAATCCACACTAGCTTTTAAAAGGGAATTAGACAAATACTTGAAACAGAGAAATATTAAGGTGGATATAAAGCCATGAACAGTTTTGTTTTTGTGGGTATGGTTATGCCCTACTACAAAGTACGCACTTTACAATATATTCTGTGAAGCGCTTTGAGATGTCTCAATGACATGACTTATCTATATCTATATCTATATATGACTTAGCTATATCAAATGCTAGGATTACTTCTCCATGATGGTGTTTATACTTCACGTGAGCCTCCACCTGTTTAATATTACCCCCAGCCTCCCCCACCCCCCTCTATTCTGCTCCGTAACTTATGCACAAATCAAACACTTTCAATATTTTTATGTTATCCTATATGAAAGGTGCTATACCAGTACAAGTTATTGGTAATAAAGAATTTTGATAATGATTGGGGTATCTTTGCCATGAAAAGAAACCTGCTAGAAATACCTACAGCATACACAGCCACTACACTTAAAATCCTGTGAAGCACATAGAGATGTTATCCAGATGTGAAAGTTGCTATATCAAATACAAAAATTATTACAATTAAAAAATGTTGTCACTCAATCCATGACTATTTGTGGGACACATGGTGTGAGTAATTGGTTGTCATGTTTCTCCCACAAAATAAGGCAATCTACTATACAATATATTCCGTGAAGCACTTTGAGACATCTTAATGATGTAATAAGGCGGTTTATCAAATGCCTATTATTTTATTATCTATTATTATAACTCAAAGCTAGGTTGTCAGATGTGTATAATGGCAGATACCTTTTAATAAGTGGCTTGGCATTTTAAAGTTTATATTACATTTTCAGGGAGGGAATTTGAAAACTGGATTACAAAAAGTTCATGCTTGTTGCACCATAGCAATAAATAAGTTTTTTAAAAAAAACTGGATCAGACCTAATGCAAACATTTCACAAATATAACATCGCTTTGAACACTTTGAATATTAATCCATTAAGCAGAGTTGTAATGGAATATAGAAATGAAATAGTTTGATATATTTAATAATTAACTGGAATGCGAATTTATGATTCATTGACTTGCTGGCTTCCTTTATACAGACTTCATAACTTGCAGCACTCAGAAGCAAAATCAATCAACCAATCGTTATCTGCTTAATAATAATAACAATCCTTGCATTTGATATAATGCCTTTCATTTAGGGAAATTGTCTCAAAATGCAAGATTGACTGTAATGTGTAGTGACTGTGTGTTTTGTGTGCAAATGATTCAGTCTTAAATCAATTCAGTCAAATCTGTTCAATGGAGTCAGATATGAAATTCTCACAGCTAAGAAATTAATGCCCAAAATGTGCAAACTGCACCCGCAGTGTTAATTACACAAAACACTGAATAATTCAGGGAAGAATCTGTAATTTAACCTTTAATTCCTAATATACTGTTGTCTTGATTTATACCACCATAACAATGTAACTAATAATTAAAGATGAAATTCTAATAACCACCTGTCCATCATTCATGTGCAAAGGATGTGTAAATAAGGTTTTATCAGGTAGGAATTTTTGGTGGCTTGCTGTGTGTATATGTTGTGTGTGTGAGATTTTGGTCTGTGTATAAACCATTTATGTAGGAGTTTAGAGTTGCCATCTTCTTCAAATTCACTCCTGACCAAGGAGCGGGCAGAATTTACGATAATAACATTAAGCCTTATAATAATAATAATAATAAGCCTTGCATTTGATATAGCATTTGATCACATTGTCAAAATGTCTCAAATACTTCACAGTATTACTGTAAAGTGCAGTGACTGTATTTGAAGGCAAACATATTGGTAACATGGATAGAATTCTGAAAGTTAATTGGATGATTAAAACTCAGTGAAAATCCTAGGTTCAGACAAAAAGTCATCGACCTGAAATATGAACTCACTTTCCTTTCTCCATAGATGCTGCCTGACCTGCTAAGTGTTCCCAGCGACTTCTGTTTTTATTTCAGATTTCCAGCATCTGCAATATTTTGCCTTTCGAAAATCTTAATTATCGGTGCCTTCACGGCATAAATCACTTATGTAAACAGGGTTTTATATTATATTTGAAAAACAAATATTCTCAGCGAGGGCAGTGTCGTTCATCTCTTACAATTGGTCTCTGTATCCCTAGGCCAAAGAATACAAAAGTCAGCCAGAATTCTGGCTCCTGTTCACTCTGTGCTAGAAAGTGATTATGTGGGAATCGGGCGAGGACAGAGGCAGGCTCTGCTGTAATGCTCCATGATTCAACAGTTGGTTGGTTTACCATCAACAACAACAACAGCTTGTATTTACATCAGCCCTTCACGTGCGGAGGCGTCTCAGAGCGCTTTACAGTTGTGGAGCCTGACACCGAGCTGGGGGGAGGGAGGAGGTTACCGTAAGCATAGACGAAGACAAAGGTCTTCAGTTGCGACCTAAAAGAGGGGCAATACGAATGATTGTGGGAGAGAGATCCAAAGCTTTGGGGGTGTAGTGGCTGAAAGATATACAAGTGATATTTCAGTGATGTTAGCAAAACATTCTAGAAATGAAAACATAATTCAAGCCAACCTAAACACAAAACACATCAATCACACCGTAAATCAATGTAAACCTAATACTCGACAAGCTAATCTGAAAGACGGGAATCAATCTAAACATCACATGCATCAATCTTACAAAATACGAGCTAAAGTAAGCAAACAGTACAATCTAACCTAAACATAAACTTAATCCGAGAACACAATATAAATATGAACATGCAATGTGAAAAAACTCAGTACAGTTCAACTTAAATGCACAGCATTAATCTGAGTAAATAGGGTATAATAATACAATGGTAAACAAGTGAATTGGAGGTGTGGTGGGTAGTCAAGCACTGGCAGAATTATACTATATTAGAAACTTTACGGAGACAAAGGATATATGGGTGTGATGATGGTCTTTTAATCAATAGTATCTGTTGCTATCTATAAACTGCAATGTTTCATTTGATGCATTATTTAAGTAGGCATTAGATTCATTGTTTTTTACCTTGTAATGGCCATGAAAACTGACCACCAGTGAAAAACAGGCCATTGATATACTGTAGGTTTATGATGCAGAAGTAATACTTGTGGCATCATTTCTTCAAGTGTATTGAACAATAATTTTCAAATCTGTGGTTAGTCATTATGATGATATTTTAAAAAACAATTGAAGAATTTCAGAAGAACATATTTTAATGTTCAAAATCTATGGAGAAATGTCAATTTGTGCATGTATTATGAATCGCAACAACTCACAGCATATCAATCAGTCATTCAAGTTAAACCACGCCAATTTGGAAGAGCTGTATGTCTTATTTGGTCTGTGTGAAATACTTTGAAATTCAGTGCATGAGTCACATATTCACCTTTCTTTTAATCATCTGCAAGCTTTGGTACAATTTCTTAGGTTTATTTCAGCGTACACAGAAAATCAATGATTGACAAAAAGGAACAATATTGTAAATAACAGGAGAGCAATTCTCAGATTGACTAGGAGCCAAATAATTGAAAGGTATTGAATAATATCTCATGTAGGGGATACAGGATCCACAGGTTGACTTGCCAGCATTTGGTTATTCAGCTGACCAGCAGAAAAGTCATGAGTTCAATTGTTCTGCATCCACTGTGCAAAAAAACTGAGCAGTGTCCAGCCTTATAATTGCATCACTTGAGAGCGTGGGCAGGGAATCAGTGCCAATACAGCTTTTGATCTGTCTGTCAGAATGTGAGGGAAAGGTAATCAAGCACTTATACGCCAATATAGACCTAAACACGAAAGTAATTGCTACAATCCAACTGCAAAGGAACAATGAGAGACACAAACAGAGAGAGACAGATGAGAGAGAGAGAGAGCATGCAGAGATTCCTGAACTGAATCAAAAAAAGATACGACACACTAGGGGTGAAATAATTTGTCAGATAAATATCCTACGTTCTGAATCGGATTCAAACGTACTAAAGTGAACATGTTTACAATAAACTTGGGCATAGTGGACCTGTACATCTAATTTCAGCACCTTGGGATGTCCTCCCGATGTGAAAGGCGCAAAACAAATGTAATCTTGTTGTTGTTGTTGTCCCAGTTCACTACAGTGCAATGGTCGGAATGATGCTCCTGACAATGAAGATCTGAGCACCTATCTCCATTTTATCTATAGTTAAGCAGTAGTAACACACATGTAATAGATAGCCTGGTTGAAACTGTGCCTTCTGTCACAAAAGATTTTATTTGTTTATAAACTGCCTGGAATCTCTTAATGGCTTCATTTTAATTCAATTGATTGCAAGTAGTTTCAAGAATCACCCTTCTTTTGGATCAGTATGAAGCACTCAGTTTCCTTCCAATCAAAACTCACAACCTGAATGAAGGTGGTGGGGTTGCAATTGAGTCTGATATGTGACATTTTTCAACATTTTTTTTAATAAGGAAACTGGGAATCTGTCATTGTCAATTCATGGGAACGCTACTCAAACCTGATTTACTTTGAGAGCAGTTCCCTTGAGCCAGTGTGCCATGCATGGCAGATATCCAGTGACTGCAAGAAGTCACCACTCAGTTTTTCATTGAAGGATTCCATTAGGAATTGCCAAATGTTAGCACAGTCACTTGTGAAAGATTGATATCTTTATTAGACTTTACTAGTCCAAATATCTTTGACTAATCTTTGAACAGCGACAACTGACCCCCCCAAAAAAAACAAATCTTTGTTCAATTCAGTTCAGGTTCTGTTTCTCTTTTCTTCTCTCTCTGTTTATATCTCTTGCTCTTTGTTTCACTGTAGTGTAATTTTTTTTTTAAAAAAGTGGATGAATTGACAAAAAGAAGAATCAAATGCTTTGGTGCTCAAAGAATGTGAAACTTAAACATCTGAAATAAACACAGAGGTGTTATAAATCCCACAGTAGGTTCAATAACCATTGAAAGAGAGGGAAAGGTTTTAATGTTTCACATATGACCCTTCATCGGAACTGAAACATTAATTTGGGGAGACACTTTGCAGAATGGCGGAGGGCAAATAGAGCAAGTTTATTCCCTTATTAAATACCCCTCTCTCCTTTGGCATTGAATAGAAACAGACCATTGTCCACTGACAGTTCCCTGTTGACAGCCCATTCCATGTTGGAATGGAAAATTCACCCTTTCTTATTGATGTCTCATCTTTACTTCTTGTGTTCCCTCTAAACCTTCCATTAACAAAATTTCACAAGCTGTTTTGGCCCATCAGCTGCTTCTTGGTGCAATTTGTTTTTTTTCCTAATGTGACTTGTCTTATACTTGTGCTATTTACGCTAACCTATTCTGCATATGAACTCCCCCCTAGCCACCACTTCAACTGCGGTGAAAGATCATGTCTATTTTATTATTTCAGATGGCAAATAGCCTGCTTGGATTTTCTATGTATTTCTACATTTACTCTGACAACAAAGTTGTATGTTTAGGGTACACTGTGAAAGGGACTCTAGGAAATATAGAGCAAGACCACTTTTCCTGTGGTCAGCTGGACATTTCACAAGGCATCTTACAAAGCTAAATAATGATGCTTGATACTTAGCAATATACTTAAATATGCCAAAGACAGATGGGCACCTGTTCAGAATGGTGACTGGCTAGTTTTAGGACACACATCAAAACATATTTATTCGCACCGGAGCTGAGGGTTTGGAATGAAGAGGGTTTGGAGGACAAGATCGGATGGAGTGGGAGGAGGACCCTAAAACACACACAGTCCTGACTATTTCTGAAGTGGATACAGATCTGCTTGGATTTAATAATAATAATCCTTGCATTTGATATAGCGCTTTTCACGTCTTCTAGACTTCCCAAAGCGCTTCACAGAATATACAGTAAAGTGAATTGACTGTATATTTGTGGGCGAACGCGGCAGCCAATTGCGCACAGCAATGTCCCACAAACAGTCATGGATTGAAAATGACCAATTTATTATTGCTTTTGGAGGGATTATTATTAGGCTCTGTGTGGAGTAAGGAAACTTGCCCAAGGTTTCGCCCTCTGCCTGGAATTGAACTCAGGTCTCTCGCTTGCAAAGCGAGTGCTCTAACCACTGAGCTACAGGACTCCATCACAAATAACTCGTTCATTTTGCTTCTTTCAAAATATTAATGTGTTGCAATTTTACATGGGAGCAGGGAGGAAGGGGGGGGGGGGGGGGGGTGAATACCAAAATAATATATTTCCTTCGCAGCCCAGGGAATGCTCAGACCATTTATACCAAATAATTCACCATCCTGCATATCACACACAGCCACCTGCAATATCATATGTGGAGTCCTGTAGCTCAGTGGTTAGAGCACTCGCTTTGCAAGTGAGAGACCTGAGTTCAATTCCAGGCAGGGCGAAACCTTGGGCAAGTTTCCTTACTCCACACAGAGCCTAATAATAATCCCTCCAAAACCAAAAACAATAATAAATTGGTCATTTCAATCTACGACTGTTTGTGGGACATTGCTGTGCGCAATTGGCTGCCGCGTTCGCCCACAAATATACAGTCAACTCACTTTACAGTGTGTTCTGTGAAGCGCTTTGGGACGTCCTCCCGACGTGAAAAGCGCTATATCAAATGCAAGGATTATTATTATTATTATTATTATTATCATACACTATACACTTATCTATTCATTGATTCCGATACCATTTCGCCTCTTGGCTTCCTTAGCTTCTGGTTTGACTTATGTGTTTGATTCTCTGTTACTGTTTTGTGTTCTCTTTCCAATGACATTATTATTATTATTATATGATGATGATGATGATGCCCTTTCTTGCTCTTAACAGCAGATGTGGTTGGGAGGGAAATGGCCATTTTCAACTGCGTTCAGCAATGTTGTAAAAAGATTTGAAACAAGTAAATAATAAAACGTTTTGAGGTCTAACACGGTGGGTGGGGGGGGTGGTGGGGGGAGCATTCATAGCAGAGACAGGGACTAAGCGCTCTTTGACGCTGCCCTGAGTGTAGGGCTCTGCGTAAATGCAAGTTGTTGTTGCTGTTGATGATCCATTGCACTATTTCTTTAAGCGAACTTCAGATCCGCAATCAAACAGCTCAAGCAATTGATTCTACAGTGTAACGTGTGTTTTCCCATCTCTCTCTCTCTCTCTCTCCCTCTCTCCCTCTCTCTGGGAATGACTCATTCACTGGATCTGATGCAGTGAACACTGACCAGTTTGCCTCCTCGTAGCAGTGCTTTTACACACCCACCGATCCCGTTGTACTTTCCAGGTACTGTCCTCCAGATGTGTGTTGATCCAAAGGAAAATGTCAAACGCCAAATGTTCCCCCAATCGATCAAAAAGCACAAGTGGTGATCTCCTCACTGCGGTCTGACCGGTAACAGATACATAGGGTATATAGGATATATAAGATATATAAGACAGCGCAGCGCCCCAGTTATCATTGCAGACTTGATCTGCCCTGAGCTTATGCTGATACAATACGTCGATACAATTGCAAACTTTGCAGACAGAGACAACTTGACCCAACCATTTGCAGATGTCGTGGGATAAGTCATCCTAAGAGCGACCCATCCGAAACGACAATTCCCCCCCCCCCCCACACACCCCCCCACACACCCCCCAAAAAAAAATTGCATTCCCTGATGAATGAATGAGTGAGTGAGTGAGTGAGTGAATGAAGGGATAAATACATGAACGGATTGAACGAATGAATGAACGACAGTCAAGATAGCAATCAGACACGATGCGACTTCATGCAACGTTTTTGCAAATGTACCTTTTCCCCCCATCACCCCTCCCCACCCCCACCCCCAACCCTCCCCCCCACCCCCCACCCCCCCAGCGAGGAGGAGAGGTTCACACGCGGATTGGGAAAGGTCTCTAAAAGAGAGCAAAACACATGCAGTACCTGCGAGGCTGAGCGAGGAAGTCAATCGTCCTGCTCTGGAGCTGGTGGTTATGCTCACTCCTTCCCCAATTCCCTCTCCCCCCTCTCTCCCCCTCTCCCCCCCCCCCTCCCCCCCCCACTCTCTCCCTCTCTCCCTCCTCTCCAAACGCACGGAATACAGCAGGACTTTGCTCACATTGCGCCTGAGATCCTCACGCAGTTGCACTCCAGAAATATTAAACTTGGCGTTGAGATGTACTGCTGCTGCTGCAGCCTTTCCCTCTCCCTCTCCCTCTCTCTCTCTCTCTCTCTCTCTCTCTCTCTCTGTCTCTCTCTCTCTCTCTCTCTCTCTGTCTGTCCAAAATGCTCTTTTCTCCTCGGATCACAGGGCTGGTGTTGCCATATGTTTATTTGCTGTGTGTGAGAGTGAGAGTGAGAGTGAGTGTGCGAGTGTGAGTGTCGCTCTATCATCTCTGCTTCAGCGAACCCTCTCCTCCTCCTTCCACCTCCAACTCGCCATCCATTTGGGACCCCTCTGTCTCTGCTTTTTAACACCGATCCCCTCCGGACGCTCTCTTCTTCACATCCACTGATGAACTACGCCGTTGAAACACCAGAGACAGGAGACGCTCTCATCGACGCTCAGATGACAAGTGTTTTCACAAGTGCATCAAAGCAAAGCAAAGCAAAGCAAAGCAAGTCCCTCGCAGGGTGTAAGCGTTTTTTTTATTAAACCAGGCTGCAAGGCACCCAACAAACCCTCTTTCTTTCTTTTTTCTTTTCTTTTCTTTTTTTTTTAAAAAAAGGGGGGAATCATTCCAGTCGATTGCATTGCATTGCATTGCATTTTTACTTGCAGTATATCCCAAAAAAAAATGCATTTGTGGTGGGGAGGGGAGGGGAAGGGAGGGGAGTTGGGGGGGGGGGGGGGGTTTGCAGAGGAAGAATTGGAAATGCGAAAGAGAATGGGAAACGGTGTCATTCTGATCCTCCTCGTAAGGTTATCACAGGACCGAGTGTCTCTGGATGTGGGACATGTTTTGCTGGTTGTGTTGGCGATGGCAGAGCGACCTTCACTCAGTCAGTCACCCACCCACACCCACACCCACCCACACCCACCCACACACACCCACCCACACCATGGTCAGGCCAGTTCTCACCAGCATCACGTCCAGCAGGCGGCAGCAACCAACCAACCAACCAACCAAACAACCAACCAACCAAGCAACCAACCAAGCAACTGGCCAACAGCCTCAAATGTTAGTTAGCAAACCCAAGCAATCGCAGAGACAAGCCAAGCCAAGCCTGGGCTGGTCTGTGTATGTGAGTGAGAGTGAGAGTGAGTGCAATGCTTTAACTTTAACGAGGAGACCTTTGTGTTTTTGCAGTTTTAACCCTAGTCCCCCAGGAAAAGTGTGAGCAGAGCAGTGAGTGACACTGGCAGCCCAGGAACCAGGCAGCAGTGTGATTTGACAAGAAGTTCAGCACCAGGGATCCGCCTCCACTTTATAAGACAGCGGGCAATGCAACTGGAATAACTGGTAAGTTATTCGCTGAACAAGTTAAAAGGGTGGGCACACTCTGCACTCTTCCCTTGTCGAGGTGGGTGGAATTCCTTACGGTGTCTGTGGGTTGTGTGGGGTTTTTTTTGTTGCATGTGTTGGTCGCAGAAAGAAGTTGCAACCAGTCTTTTGTGTGGGGGAGTGGGAGAGAGAGGGTTGGGGGGGGGTTTGGTTTGTATTGATGGTGCTGATGTGCTCAGAAGGCTATTTAACTGACTCGGAATGGGAACAGTCTTCTGTTTGCTGACACGTTTGGGGTCAGGAATTGTTGTCAGATGAGATGGGTAACACGACTGTATACCTCGAATCTTCTTTTTTTTTGCTCTGGATTCTGTCAGCTAAGCAGAGCTTCAGTGTACAGTGCTTCAGCACTGACTCCTGTTAGACATCCCTCTCCCCCACCCCCCTCCAATTTTATTGATCAGTTTCATGTAAGGATTATTATTATTATTATTATTATTATTATTATTATGTTTGCCACCTATTCCCCAAAAGAATAAAATATAACAAAACAAAGCAGCCGCAATCAACTCTCAACAAGTCAACAAGTTTGGGAGATGGAGCCGAACAGTTATACTTTATTCTATTTTTCCAGAATAACCAAACTATCTTTTTTTTCCCCCTGCTTCCAAAAAAAAATGCTTCTAAAACGCATGTACTGGTAAGTTGTTTGCTGTGTGGTGTTCTCTACAAAGGCATCTCGGTTTTCTAACCACTTTCTTGAGCTCTGTTGCATTCACAACTGCGGCTGGTTGTTTGATGCGAAAAAAAAGTAAACGAAAGCAACAAGGATCAATTTTACTTTAAATGCAGAGTAATTTATTCTACTTTAATACTAATGTTAATGGGGCTGACGGTTCCTTCCTATGTAAAGTGTTAAACCCAGTGTAGATGTGATTCTAATTGTCACACACAAAGGGTTAAAAAGATAGTTAGTATCTCTATGTGGTGGTTTGATGTTTTAGTTTGGTTCTAAGGATCCAATGTCTGGCTTTGTTGCAGAGTAACTTTATTGTGGTGCAAGATTATACTCTTATAATAATAATAATCCTTGCATTTGATATAGCGCTTTTCACGTCGGGAGGACGTCCCAAAGCGCTTCACAGAATACACTGTAAAGTGAATTGACTGTATATTTGTGGGCGAACGCGGCAGCCAATTGCGCACAGCAATGTCCCACAAACAGTCGTAGATTGAAAATGACCAATTTATTATTGTTTTTTTGGAAGGATTATTATTAGGCTCTGGGTGGAGAAAGGAAACTTGCCCAAGGTTTCGCCCTGACCTGCCTGGAATTGAACTCGGGTCTCTCACTTGCAAAGCGAGTGCTCTAACCACTGAGCTACAGGACTCTTCTTTCTCTCCAAAGCACTGCCTTCAAACTCTTCCTTGTGGGTTACTGACCCGCACCTTTCTGTTTTACTGTGATCCTGTGTTGCTGTGGGCAGACAGCCAGGGCTGTGGGGACCAAGCTTCTGTGTGGTCTATCTGTGCCCTTGCCACACAGCTCGCTCCTCTTACTGTTCTCTAGTGCTCTTGTTAAGTGGGTGTGAGTGCTTTCTTTTAGGTAAAAGAAAGAGGCGATACATTAGAGAGAGAAAGAGCTAAGTTGACGAGAAAGACATTTGAACCTGAGAACGAGTGCAGAGACAAAGAGAGAGAGAGAAAGGGGGTTGGGGAGAGAGAGGAGGGAGAGAGCTGAGGGAGAGAACTGGGTGAAAGGGAGGGGAGAGGGGGAGAGCTGAGAGAGAGAGGGGGAGAGCTCAGAGAGAGGGGGACAGAAACAGGGAGAAAGGGGGAGAGAGGGAGAGAAAGCTGAGGCACATAGAGGAGGAGAGGGATGGAGAGAGAAATAGGGGATAGGTGAGAGAGAGGGGGGGAGAGGGGAATGGGTGAGGGAGAGAAAAAGGAGAGAGAGGGTGGCCGTGAGGCAGGGAGAAGATTCAGAGACAAAGAGAGAAGAGCCAGAGTGTAAAGTGTGCTGAGAAAACAAAGCTGAGCTGATGGGGATGAGGGGGACAGACAGGGAGAATCCTGAGCTGAATCTGACAGCCAGTTTGAGAGGTCAATCGCTGATCCATACACAACTGTAACTGAGAGTTACACCGTGTGAGAGACAGTGAGGCGAGTTTTCTAAGCAAACTCAGAGCAAATTTTGTCAAAGGGAGAAATGAAAATTATAATACAAGTTCGATTTCTGTCACAGTAACTTTACCTCAAATCGATAATATCCTAGGACCAGTTAGAGTCAAGAGCTTGTCTTAACTCATGGTCAGCTTTAGTAGTGGTTAGATCCTACAAAATACACAGTCAATTCTATATCTGGTGAAGTGATTTGAGACGTCTGGTAATTGATAAGGCTTTGTATCAAATGCAAGGATTATTATTATTATCTTAGTTATGCACTTTTGTTACTAATGACCTAAATTTATGTCTTGTTTCAGGGTTATGTTTCTACCAGCAAAGCTTGAGATTTAGCAAGTAAACTTCCTACCTGACCCCCACAAAGCAGATGGATGTGTGTCTGAGAAGCAGGTACATTGTCGTTAGTTCTGAACAGGAAATTTAAGGGCATAAACCCTTTGAAAAAGAAACAAAGAAATTGTCCACTGTGTTCTATTGTGTTTGCAGATTTCTTCATCGATTTTAAAATATGCAATCATGTATATAAAATGTATATAAAAAAAAGTAATTTCATATAGTGTCAAAATATTTCAAAGCACAAATGACACAATGTGCAATATTCGCAAAAGAGTGTGTAAATAGGGCAGGAGGCCAAAGCACAGAATTTCTGCAGAGTGGATGGAACCCACAACTGCTGGCAAACAGTTAAATAATTGCCCACCCTTCAGTCAGTGCAAGTGGAGTCCTGTAGCTCAGTGGTTAGAGCACTCGCTTTGCAAGCGAGAGACCTGGGTTCAATTCCAGGCAGAGGGCGAAACCTTGGGCAAGTTTCCTTACTCCACACGCCTAATAATAATCCCTACAAAAAACTAAAACAATAATAAATTGGTCATTTTCAATTATACAGTCAATTCACTTTACAGTATATTTTGTGAAGCGCTTTGGGACGTCCTCCCGACGTGAAAAGCACTATATCAAATGCAAGGATTATTATTATATTGTTATTATTATACGTTGGCGCAAAGCAAAGAATGAGAAGGCACAAGAAAAAGTGGTAATGCAGAGGACTGGGAGAACTGCAAAAGGCAACAAAGGGTCACAAAGAAAGTAATGAGAGGAGCAAAAAGGGAATATGAAAAAAAAACTTGCAAAGGATATTAAAATCAATAGTAAGAGCTTTTATAAATACAGTATATTTAGAGAAAGAGAGTAGTCAAGGGAAATGTGGGCCCATTGAAGACAACTATAGGTGAGACTATAACGGAAAATAAGGAAATGGCTAACTTGTTAAATAAATACTTTGCTACTGTTTTTACAGTAGAGGATGAGGACAAAAATACCAGCCAGACAGGGGAACCTAAAAATAAGTCAAAGTAAAATGCTTAATAAAATTAATATAAATTAATAAATGGCAATGGAGAAA